GAGGAGATCAAGACGGCATGATATGGCAAGGAGGACACGATCTATTCATGGTATTCAAATCGTATGGCCTAGGGCCCAAAGTTTCCGCCCGAGGTCATCTTGTTCCCGAAGGGCAGCCAGCCGGCGAGGGCGCAGGCGCGGGGCGCGAGGAGGGGGGCCCGGGGGCACTATGCCTCTGTTTACATGTTAGCAGTGTTCAAATTAGGTAAAGTATGAGTGTTGTTGATGAAGGAGAGTAGATATGAAGACACTTTGCTGATACAGCCCTAAATGTCCAACTACCAAAACAAGTGAAAGGAATATAACATACGCTGGAAGTTGGCCTCGCGCGCGAGGATCACCTCGTAGGCGGGGAGGAAGACGGCCAGCGCGCGCCGGCAGAGGCGGATGGTGCGCCGAAGCGCCAGGTCTTCGTCGACACTCCACGTGCCGCACTGCACGTGCCGGCGGCGGGCGGCATGGGCGAACCTGAGCTACAAGTTCTGTTAGTACTGTATCCTCCTGGGTATAATATTGTATCGTAGAATATAGCTGTGGATGTGTTGTAGTAGGCAGAAACTTACTTCGCGGCGGGCGAGGTGGATGCCCTCGGCGAGCTCGGAGGAGGAGACGGGCATGTTGGTGGTGATGATTTGGTTTGATTTCTATATATCTACGTTAGCTACATGTACTCTAATACTGTGATTTGAAGCTGGAATAGAAGGTTCAGAAGAATACATACGGATGTGGGTGGGTGGATGGGTTAAGGAACAGAAGTCAGCCAGAGACGCGGATTTGTACCTACCTACCTTGCTCCCCGTCCTCACACTCACACATACGCTTTGGGAAGAGGAGCGGGGGAGGACATTTCACGGTGAGAAGCGGGAAATTGCACGTCGCGCGGTGAGGAAACAGTGATGGTGCAAGTTTTCTCTTCCTTTGGATTTTCGTCCTTGGTGCGTTCAGTGCCATTTGAGCAGGCTCACCTTCACTTTTGCGGCACTTGAGAATTGGAGGAGTACAAAAGAGTTGCAATCTTGATATCTACGCAAAAGGAACCAGTAGATAGTGTAGTCTGTAGCGTATACTGCGAGTTTCATGCTGCGACCAAGTCCTTCACACAAGCCATCTACCGAATACACTTCATATCAACACCCTCACAAGCTTCACACCCAGCTTCATGTCGTCCCCGCGCTCCATCATACCCCCAACAAACCCCCAGTAGAACCGAAATGTAAGCTGCTACTATTGATGCCAAGACCATGATGAGGCTCAAGACACCCCTTGTAGCGCTCACCTCAACTGCCCATCTATGCTTGGAGAGCACGAGGATAAATGAGGTATCTTGATCTTGCGACACGCCCTGCCACCGTTCTTATGATGGAAGTACGATGGACCATTAACGTGCCGCTGAGAAGTTGGACTACGATGAGCAGCCAGGGGATCTGTTCAATGTCAGTAGAGGGTAACTTGCAATGACGAAGTCGAATGAGAAGGCGACTTACCTGGCAGGTTAGCTATGACAAAGTTGGTATTTAGCCACTAGTTTAAACCTGACCGAGTAGGTTGAGCTCAGTCAAGTCTTACTACAAAGGGCAAGTGTCACTGACAAGACCACCATGTAACTTGCCGTAGCAAGTACGGAAGCAACATGGCGGAGACTGTCGAGTGACACCAGAATTTCTTCGGCGCGTGGGTGTGCAGCAACGCCATGAGGAAGGCAGAAGCTACGTACCCATGCCGTGATGATGTGCAAGTACCAGCTTGTGAGGGCTGTACTGCTACGTATGTCGAAATGCCAGGTGTCTAATGTGCGTCCTGGTCCTTCTCTTTCTGCCTTGTGTGCGCGAGCCGGCGTGGCTGAGGTTGCGTTCGAGGTGGACGGTGCGGAGGGATCGCGCGCGTTGCTGGGGGGAGGTGCCGTCGTCGTAGGCATGGAGAGACTGCTTGAGATACATCTGGTCAGCATGGCTCGAGGAACTGTTTGTTTGGAGTGGATGGAGCAAAGAGGCATCAGAGTGGGGATATAGTTTCTTCAATGAAGAGTTACAGATGTTCAGATACCGTTGTGGTCCCCGCTAACTCATCATTTGCCGATTGGGAACAGGACAGGATGTGGACGTACCGTAGTTAGATGAATTGCGACGTTCAATGCCATCAGCGTTTGGCGGTGGCGTTCGTTCCCTAGTTGATCTCTCAAATGTCAGCGGAGTTCAACAACGGAGAGAAGCAGAAAGAGGGGGAAATGTCTCGTCAGAAACGTGAACCAACGATTAGGACCCTCATGTTGAGAAGCGACCCTTGAACGATTCGGGAGTTGGGCGGTTGATCATCTTGCGAGAAAGTAGGGGGTGGATGCGCGCTTACGTACCTGATCTGTCCGATCAAGAAGCTGAAATTGCTGAAGTTATCAGCTGAGCGGACCGTGTAAACTGACTGCGGTTCTGTGTAATGGTTAGCGAATACTCATCGCGTAAAGGAAGAGCGTGTGTGGAAAGGATCGGGGAACGTCAGCTGGAATGAGTACGGTGTTGTCATCAACGGACTCAGACAACATCGGTGGTATCATCATGGTATCGCCGGAGGTTCGGGAGGGATTGACTTACCGTTGTGGTTTCGTGTGCCATCAAAGCGGGCGGCAAAAGAACGAGTCGATTGCTCTCTTCGTAAGTCTAGACATGGTGACAAGTCAGCGGACGGCAATGAATACAAAAGACGGATGAGGAGGAATGGTGGCGTCGCTCAGTTGAGAAGATGAGACAAATTCTTCCTTGAAGCTGCCCAAGAACTCAAAGCTCTACCTAGGTAAGGCTGAATTCCCGTGCAGGTTCTTCGAGATTTTTATACGATACATACGTTTGCATCATCGCGGTAGTGGGTAGGGGTATTTGGAGGGTACTTACCGGCATGAGACGCAACATCTGCGTTGGGACCTCCCTCATCGACTTGACATTTAGGCGAAGAATGTAGACTTGATAGAACAAGACTTGACTGCAGTGAAGAAAGCCGCTCCAGATCTTCACATCGATGATGCTTTCGCGGACCACTGCATGTCGTATGAGAAGAGGAAGTGATGGGCGCCATGTCTAGATGCCACGGAAGGTCAGCGGATATCAAGGAGTAGGAACGAGACATGCGGAGAAAAAAGCCGGCGTATCAAAGAAGATTAGCGCTGTCTCTTGGGACAGCTACTTGAGAGCTCAAGGTTGTTAGGCCGAGCTCCTTGCAGCGTTCCTCGACGGTAGTTCGAAGCTACACGAACGATACTAATTGGGTTGATATCATTGCAGGGGATGGTGAGGATAGTGGAGAGATGAAACTTACTGATACGAAATATGGAACAGTTGGCAACTGATCCTGTCGACGCGAGTTGTCGCAAGGTCAGAGAAGGGTCGGGAGAGCGCAACGTCGCTGCTGCCAGCAAGGTGACAGTAGATTATCCGGTCTGACAAGACGAATGCAATGGTAGTCTATCCTCTGGAACGGCGTTCTGAAAGCGGAGGACTGCGAAGAGATGACAAAGGTCAGTTAGCGAATGCCAAAAAATCTGAGGTAGAGTTGAATGGGACGAGCGATGTAATGGTTCAGACTGATCTGGAATCTTCAACATGTCCCCCTCCGGAGAAGCTAGAGAGGCTGCTGAAAGCGACCATCATCTAGCGACCAGATTATATAGGAGGGGCAGTTTTGTGGTAGCTCAGAGGTATAATCATAAACGTGTGACGAGCGAGCAGCGGAGGGGAACTTACCAATCCGAATGCGCACAAGGCACTTGTGTTCTCCATTGTTCGGAAGCGGAGAAGATGGTAGTCTGAGCGGTAGTCCGACGCGACAGCCTGGCGTAGCTCGAGGTCACCTCGAGAGAGCTTGCACAGAGGGTGTGGGACTAAAAATAGCTGTCAGCATACGATCTCAAAAAGATTTCCGGCGCGATGCGTGGGTATGCTGTCCATCAGAAAGCTTGTTCTATCATCAACTGCGAACCAGCCACAGAGTAGCGGTTCTGCGTGTCTCAAAAAGTGTAGGTTCTGCCAACGGCAGGATCATCATGGGCGGTGGGGGTGAGCAAGAAGAGGGGAGGACATACAGAGAGTGAGTACCCAAACTCCGGGAGGCAGAGTATCGATGTCAGAAGCTGCTGACTAGAGGTGACGCGCTGCTGGTGTGCGTCGCGAACGAGTGACTGTTGTCGCTCCCATACGTGCGGGGGTTGACACTGCCATCTCAAAGAACAAGGAAGCTGTGGAAAAGAGTGACAAAGGTGCTGATGATGTAGAATAGGTAGAAGAAGATGTAAGGGAGAATGGGATTATAGGGTGCGAGTGTGTTGTGGAAAACAATGGTGAGTAGGTGGGTGAGGACAAAATTGATCAAGCTTGTTGACGTAGCGACGACAGCACTAAGACCACGCGCGTTTGCCTGGAGGGAGATTACGAATTGCGCGTCCCCAAAAGTGAAGGGGACCAGAGGAGACGCCCTGGCGGTGCAAAAATCGACAGCATCATGTGCACTGCTAGCTTGATGAAGGTGAGCCGTGAAGGACTTGAACGCAAATTGAGATTACGTGTTGCGTACATGGCGAGCTTACCCATGCGAGTGCGCGCAATTACGAGGTGACTTAGAGAATTCTGGGTCGAGGGACTTCCACGTTGCTGGGCCGGACCCATTGTGACTCGACTGGAATTTCCATGCTGTATACATAGACCATATTGAAAGCTTCTAGCACAATAGCAATCGATGTAGCTCTCTGCTGAAGGTCTGATATCTATTGTCCGAGTTTGTTGCTATTGACGTGTTGCGCGGGCCTCAGTCCTATATCTTCTCCTCGTTGCTGGACTTGACCGAACTCCAGCACCACCAACTCCTCATACCGTAAGTTTTGAATCCCAGTTATCATCGAGATCGTGCTGCACTGCATGATTATCATGATAATCAAGGCTGACAATTGCGACAGATTCAACAAAACCTCACCAACAACCTCCAAACCAACCCCACAACAATCAAACCATCATCACATCACTATGGACGACAAATCAGCCTCCTATGCGCTGGCCCGGATGCACTGGTACTTGGGAGTCGCTGCACGTGCGCGAGAGGAAGTTCCGGCCAACATGGCCCTGTCAAAGGTCGCGACCAACTTCGCGTACAACTACCTCCAAATGTACTTGAGGAGGATGAACGAGGAGGAGAGGGAGGAGCAAGAGAGGGAGCAGGTTGCTCGCGCTGAGGCAGAGGAGGCCAGGCGCCTCCAGAACGTGAGTATTCCCATCTTTGTGTGCTTTTGGCTCGTCAATCCAAAGTTGTCACAATGCTGACTTTCTACTTCTAGTTCTGGAATCGTCTTCGTCCCGCCGCCCGCGACCGCGCCTTTCGCCGCGCTTTCCTCCGCACAAAGCTGCAAGGTCGCCGCCGTTGATTCGGCATACACGTTCTGAGAGATCTGGGTTCGGAGGATAGCGAGGGCGCTGGGGCGTTGGTGTAGATACACCACAATGAGACACGATTCGGCACTTTCTCCATCCAATTCTTGTAACATCCCGACGTGACTCAATCCATTGACGTGTTCCAGAGCTTCTGGCACGATGTGATTTGCGAGCTACTGAGTACTCTGATACTACAAACAGCTCGCCAAAAAGCCACTTGCTGACGACATGGTCGTTACTGGGGGAGCCATATGATGTGAAGCAGCAACGTAGCCCTCCTGTCTCTTCCTCAAGTCACTGGCAAGCCAGAAAACGCGATGAAAAGAAGTAAAAGGTATTCAAAAATTGAGTCTAGGACTGAACCCAAAGGCAGTCCCGGACCACAGATGGATGTAAGCTTCGGAAAAGTCCTCACTAGCTAGACATCGCGCAAGGCCGAGGCAGCGACTTGTTTGTTTCAAAAATTGGTGACGACAAAAGTAGTATTCTGGCGAAGGGAGATAGAGGCGGCAGCACTTGATGGGCCCAGAAGCGCACGGACGTTGATCTGAGTGCGGCAACCTGGGCGGCTCGATACGTCACTGTAAATTTCTATGGTCAATGTCCCAGATTGATCCCGAAGATAAGCCATGACAGAGACCTTTCAGACCATAACAACCGAGCGTCAGATCACGTGAGCCCTGGGATGCCAAGCGACAGGCCAGTATATAAACCCCTCATCCCCCGTCCCTCCTACTCTCGCACCAGGTCAGCCTCATTTGTCTTTTGCGAGTAGTCCGACCTGTTAAGGTTTGGCCCAGCTTCTCGCCTTGTGGCGGGCTGCTTGCTATACGGACGGATTGAGGCGCCACACATTTTTGGAACCAGTCGGTGGGTCACTGGGCTTGCTCAACCCCACTGGCACCGTGTCGCCAGTATTACACTACCTCTGGCTGACGCGACTTTTTTTCATTGAGTCTTCTCGCTTGCGAGTTGCTTGAGGAAGAATTTCTTCCTTCGATTGCATGATATCACTGACATTCTCTGATCTTTTGACGTCAACTGCTGCTTTGTGAATGTAATAACACCAAAACCCACGAGGTATTGATTGAAATTGTGACAATCAGGTTGGCTGAGATGACGAGATGGCCTCGCGAAGCCTCGCAAGTGTCGTGTTGACCGCACTTCGTGGTGTTGTTGTGTTTACATCCAACGGTGACGTGTCCAGCACGCCGTATCAACAACTTTGAGCTCACTGTCAACTTCGAATTACTTGATGATGTGCGCAAGCGTTGGCGCGTACCATTCTAATCTACTCAAGCCGTTACCGTTGCTGATGTCCTACGCAGCAGCCTGCGCATCCAACTGAGCCTCCAACAGATCGGCTGAACGACTTCTCCCCGCGACCGATCGATCATCTCAGAGAGAAGGGCATTTTGGGGATTGTAGATCCAATTCTGAGACGACTTTGGGAACGGTGGGGGCGAGTATGCCAGCTTTGCATCCAGATGGCCTGGCTGATCAAGAATTGCGCGACCAAGGTAGCAACCCCGATATCGACAGGATGTAATTCGGTCTACAGCTGCGTCAGAGCATGCCAGAAGTGTGAGCTTTGAACGTATCCTATGTGCGAGTGTGCCCAGTATACCAGACCCTGGCGCAGTGCGCTCGCGCCAGTCCGTCCGCGCTAAGGCCCCTACCGCGGTCATGGTCTTGTCTAAGGTGCCATAATGCTAGACTTACGACAACATCATCACAAGTCGCATTTCGGAGATGAAAAAGCCGAAATGTAGCTCATAGCGAGTTCCAGTATTCACGACGTCGTTGCCACGGTTGACGCGCGGATGGTGTTGGGTTTCGTCAAATGACGTAGTTTATCTTGACAGTCTCTGACAGCGAACTTCCGCACTCATGATACTGATAAAGCAGCGATGAACGCAATTAAACTTCTCGATTTTGAGCCAAATTCGGAGCTATTGAGTGCCTGTGGCATTGCACGATAACAGGTAGCACTGAACCAGCTTTTCTTAAAGAAAAGGTCTATCACAGTCGCACAAGCACCATGGCATACAAGTATCAACGAGCTTGTTGGAACTGAGTGGCATTGGAGCATATAGTCTATCTGGAGGCACTCCGGCTATGCCCATCGGAGCAGGCACCGCAACCCCTATTCCGCATGATGCTGTCTTGCCATTCAACCTCCGCCACAAGACACCATGTCTGGATGCCCACTGTAGCAGGCCATCTCCTTGCGCAACTTTGCCCAACCGTGAACCGTGGTTTCCATGAACTACACCGACCCGAGGTATGGCAACGAATGATCGCGGAGGGGACATGTTGTCGAGGTCGAGTGCGAATGGGAACGTCGACAACGCGGGAGGGCGACATAGATCCTAGAGCTCATGCAGTTATCCGACAGTATATAGCCAAGAGAATACGTGCTTACCTGTTGTTGATGTTGGGGACGCTCGACCAGTATCACGAGCTTCATTTGGTTTCGCCTCGAAAGGTTACTTATCTTTGGCGGCACTCAGCGCCAGAAGCTTTGCCAAAGTCCCAACTATCCGCTTGCACAGATAGCCGCATCGGCATACCACTGTCCTCGCCTAGCGCGCAGTCAATTAAGACCAGTTGCCTAGCAAGTATACCGTCCTCGTACCCAGCAACAGGCATTGAAGACGGTATGGGTAGCCTAAGCCAATGGGGGAGACCCGTTACAGGTACGTGAATGGGTGGTAGGGGCGGTTCTTCTTCATCGTCGTTGTCATCCTCCTCTTCCTCTTTCCTCCCGCGGCGTACGAGCCTACCGGGAGTAGACCGTCCTGAAGGCCAGATCGATGCGGGCACGGAGTTCCTCCTGAGCAGACATTAGTTCACCGGATGAAGGCTCAATCAGACTCGAAGAACTTACTTGGCTCTGTGACATGAGCCACTCCATGTTCTGGATCTCGCGCTCCAAGGCGAGATCGATCTCGATGCCCAAGAGGATGAGGCTGCGCTCAAAGCTCCGCTTCACGATGCGGGCTGTGCGGAGCTCCAGCCAGTTCCACCTGGGCGAGACGGCCAATCGGGCGATCTTCGCGTCGTTGTTGCGGATGTCCTGCTCAAGACCGTCACGCTCCGCAAAGAGCGTGGAGGAGAGGCGGGGACGGACGATGGGGGCAGGGGCAGTGGTGGTCATGTTGTGTGTAGTGGTGGTGGTGATGTGTGTGGTGGTGGTAGTGGTGACTAAAGACCTCTGTCAGCTACTTGATCTCAAAGTGATCAAAAAGAAGAGGATACTCACTTTTGGTATGGAGTGTGTTGGTTGGGGAGCTGTCTTCGACGCGGAGGAGTTATCAAGGCCAAACGCCGCGAGCGCAGCACGTGCCCTGCGCGTATAAATTTGCTCCTCACCAGGCTGCCTTCCTCCCCGGTCACCTCCACTACACCAAGTCACGTCGAGCTTTTTTCTCACCCCAAGTGACCACGACGGCCAGCGCCAAGCGCTACAATACTACACAATACCAAGCTGAGTCTCCCCTTCCTGCCCCCTTCATCCACACGCTGTAGCGTCATCGCTACTCGCAAGCGCCCCAAGATGACAGTTGTAGTTGCTGAAGGAAATCCCTAATGATCAACTAAACACTTGGATACCTGAGGGCGCTTCACTCCACTCCTCTACCCCCTCCTCTCATGATCACGGTTAACGCCTCTAGTCCCCCCATGCGACACTCTGCTGTCGCACTCTCGCCTTGGGCGCTCGACTCCGACACTGTCTCCTTCCAAGGATCTCAACGAGCTAAGTCTTCCCCATCCCCTTCCCAATCCTTGCACACTGGAGGGCTTTCGACCGACACTGTGATGACAAACCACTGTTGTTTTCAACGCTCAGTCCTGGGGCATTCCTCCTGACGATGCGGAAAAAAACCGAGCCTTGTCTGACAGTGTCAATTTCCTTACTCGCTCGCAACTCAGTAGAACTTTTTTAACTCAGCACAGGTCTTCTTCAACGACAACAACAATGTCTGAAAGATGGTTGCGCATGGATAAAGGCGGAAGAACAAGGATGGCATTGCGATGGTGGGACAAAGAACGGCAATATCCAAATGAGCCTGAGATCTCAATTCTCAGGTTCAATGGTAGATCGCCTAGATTGAAGTGACAGCTGAAACGACGCGTGATCTGACTTCTTCAATCGTCAGATCCAGTCGATAGTTGCCTACATTTTCCACTGTAACTTCTCCAAGTCAATCTCGAGCTTTGTGCTCGTGCTCTCGTATGTAGTTCAAATTACAGCATGTTTCCATATGATACATATCTTACAGCCAAGCATCTTGACCTTATCGTATGCGGTGACTCATGCGCAGCCTTGATGCTGGGTTTGTTGGTGGCCTTCAAGCGAGTAGCAGCCGACCTTGATGTTTCTCAATGACGTCATTGTTTATCTGAGAACTTGAGTTCATCACCGTGGACATCACTGCGCATCGTGGAACAAGTCGCGAGAGCGACACATGGCAAAATTGAAGTGAGCAGCAACATTGATTGTATATCTACATGCGCCACTACGTGAACCGCGTTACCTGCGCATCGCACCAAGTATTCTATACCGTACGAAGTGACCCAAATCATCTAAGCACATGCGGCTCATCATCTGATGACTGCAAGCGAATCGCCCTTGTGACTCCCATGTCTGGCACGGGCACAGTCATTCCGTTCATGTGGTCGGCCGAAGATGTCTCGTTGACGGAAGCGGCGCCGTGGGCATAAGGGTGGAGAAGTTCGCCGCTGCAGAAAAGTCGGGTTGGTAAGGGCCTTGTTTCGCGCTGTAAATGTCGCCGTAGGTATTCTGCGATATCGACGTACAGAAGACTCTGGATTTCGATGAGAGATTTCGGTAACAGATCACGCAACTCGCGATTGAAGCATGTATGGCAAGCTGCCCGTGCCGCATCGAGGAAGACGATCATGCTGAAGTTTGCGCCGAAGGTGGGGCGGAAGACATCATCCGATCACGCTTGAGCACATGTCCGAA